GTTTAGTGATTCTCCAGCCTCAGCCTCTGGAGTAGCTAGGACTATAGGGCCCACCATAATGCCCTGCTATTTTTTTTGTTGCAGTTATTTAATTTATTTTTTGAGACAGAGCCTCAAGCTATCCCCCTGGGTAGAGTGCTGTGGCATCAGCTCACAGCAACCTCCAACTCCTGGGCTCAAGTGAGTCTCCTGCCTCAGCCTTCCAAGTAGCTGGGACCACAGACGCCCGCCACAGCGCCCAGCTATTTTTTGGTTACAGCCGTCATTGTTGTTTTGGCGGGCCCAGGCAGGATTCAAATCCGCCATCTTAGGTGTATATGACTGGCGCCTTAGCCACTTGAGCCACAGGCACCGAGCCTATTTATTTTTTAGACAGAGCCTCAAGCTGTTGCTCTGGGTAGAGTGCTGTGGCATCACAGTTCACAGCAACCTTCAACTCCTGGGCTCAAGCGGTTCTCCTGCCTCGCCTCCCAAGTAGCTGGGACTACAGGTGCCTGCCACAATGCCCAGGTATTCTTTGGTTGCAGCCGTCATTGTTGTTTGGCCGGCCCAGGCTGGATTCAAACCCTCCAGCTGAGGTGTATGCGGCTGGCTCCTTAGCCGCGTGAGCCACAGGTGCAAAGCCTTTTGTTGCAGTTATTTAGCTGGCCCAGACCGGTTTGAACCCGCCACCCTCAGTGTATGTGGCTGGTGCTGTAACCACTGGGCTACAGGCGCAGGCACCAAGCCCACAAATTATTTTATTTATTTATTTATTTATTTGCAGTTTTTTGGGTGGGGCCAGGTTTGAACCCACCACCTCCAGTATATGGGGCTGGTGCCCTACTTCTTTGAGCCACAGGTGTCTCCCCACAATTTTTTTTTTTTAAGAGATGGGATCTTGCTGTTTTCCAGGGTGGTCTTGTACTCCTTGGCTTCAAGTGATCCTGTGCCTTAGCCTTCCAGGTGGCTGGGATTATATGTAAAAGTCACTGTGCCCAGGCAACCATTGCAAATTGTTCTTTTTTTTTTTTTTTTTTTTTTGCAATTTTTGGCCAGGATAGGGTTTGAACCCACCACCTCCAGCACATGGGGCCAGTGCCCTACTCCTTTGAGCCACAAACACCACCGCAAATTGTTCTTATCCTCATTTTAGAGATGAAGAAATAAAGGATCAGGGGAGACAATTGACAGCTGTTTCCTGTTGGTGGGGTGGGGGTCAGGGACTGATCTCACTGAAGTGGTTTTTTGGTACACCTGTTTAAGTGAGACAACAGAATACATGAGGCAACAAAGTACTTAAAAACAAACTGTAAATGGTGATGTTTAGTGCAACTAAACATCCCATGTAGGAGGAGGCAGAACTGGGGTTTGTACTTCTGACTGATTCCCAAGCCCATGTTCCTTGCCACCATGCTGAAACAATAGACCCACCTCTGAAGAACAATGCATCTCTGTATATACTCACCAATACTTGGCACTAGGCAAAGAGTCCATCCATGTACCAATCCATACAACCTAGATAAGGAAACTTAATGATAAAGTTATGGGACTAACTAGCCTGGTTGGGGGTAAGGGAGCAGCCTCCTCTGATCTTCCTCTTAGGCTCCATGGGCCCACCAACTGTTTCCCCTTGCTGATTTCAGTTTGTAAATCCAACCTCTCCAAGGCTGTTTTGAGTTCTCAATGAATCTTTTTTCTCATTTGAAAAGAAATTCTCTTTCTCTCTTTTTTTTTTTTTTTTGAGACAGAGTCTTACTATGTCACCCTCGGTGGAGGGCCGTGGCATCACAGCTCACAGAACCTCAAACTCTTGGGCTTAAATTGGTAGGACCACGCCTACAGTTCATCTTACAAGGGTACATGTGAAATTTACTAAATGTAGAATATAAATGTCTTAACACAGTAACTAAGAAAATGCCATGACGGCTATGTTAACCAGTTTGATGAAAATATTTCAAATTGGGCTCGGTGCCTGTGGCTCAAGTGGCTAAGGCGCCAGCCACGTACACCCAAGGTGGTGGGTTCGAATCCAGCCCGGGCCTGCCAAACAACAATGA